ACTCATCGCTTTTGGTCATTAAGTACTTCTTTTTTTACAGCGAGACTTACCATGAATTAATGTATTATTCTCCTCTCTCAGTCTGTCTGAGACTGAGGTTCTTTTCTGGGGGCTAAATCCTTGATTTCTTACCCAATTTCAAATGCATATTGTTAACATTCAGGCTATGAGTCCCAGAGAATTATTAAATGATTTATGAGAGTGCAGGAGCTCTGCAGTCTGTCCAGGAGAGGCAGAATCCTGGCTGGGGGCTGGTGAACATCTCAAGTTCTCAGCAGGTGGCTGATTTTCTCCAGGAAAAAATGTTCTGGGCTTTGAGGGGTAAAAAACCTATAGGCAAATGCATTTAATTCAAAGGAAAAAAATAATTGTGTTTATTCCAAGAAAGGTTGGTCAGTTTGTTTGTTTGTTTGTTTTTTCCTTTTAGCAAGAGTAATGGCGGTAAACACTCCCAAAGGCATGTGAACCCCCTAGTGCCCCACCAGTACAGACTTATGAACCACCATAGCTTTTGTTTCCCTTCAACTTAACCTTCTGGAATATCTGAAAACTTCAGCATACCAAACTTGCTTTAAATAATTCATGTGTGCTTGATAGAAGAGAAACAAAAAAGTTTTTCTAGCTTAATTTTATTCTAAACTGGACTTAAAGACTGAAGGAAAAAAGCATGCCCAAAGAACTCTTTACTTACCTCTATCAAAAAGCAGGAGTGGCATAGACAAGAGTTTGGCTTTGCTGAATATTTAGATTATAATTTTAAGGACTGTCGGTGATAGATTGAACTGGAATTGAGGATTGACCACAAAATTCAGTATGTGCACTTTGAAGCTAGCTATTGGAAAAAATCTGTGGTAGGCACAGGTTTTAATTTAAAATTATGGCGATATTTCTTAAATATATATAGAAATCACGAATAAAACGTGAATTATTTTTCTGGTACAGTGATGTACTTAGAAGACTAAGGCTGAAGGAATTAGTCATACAGTTTTACCTTGTGGAGACTGACGGATGCAGTGAAAAAGAAAGCTGATGACTTCAAGCCAGAATCCATATAAAATAATGATAAAAGTATTAACAAAGCAATAGGTTGGTTAATTCTGAAGGTGGATCCCAATCTTGAGCATTGCTGTAGTCAAATTCCCACATATAATTTTTCAAAATGAATATGCAAAATGCTTCCTCTATTGATTTTAAGGCAGTTGAGAGAGATTTTTTTTTTTTTTAATTTATTTATTTTACTTTTTTTTACCATTATAGTCTTGGATAAAACCTATATCACTTTTGAAAACCCTCATTATCCTGATGTCCTCTCCAAGGTATTCCAGCCACTAGAGAACCTGATGCTGTCCTGGGATGAATAACAATGATTCTTCAGGCAGCAAAAACTGAAAATAAAATAAATAAAGGCAATGTAGAAAAATGTCAGTGAGACTCGATAAGGACTCTAGCACAGGGTGTTTCACAGAAATGTGGTAGAAAGGAGCCAGAAGCATTGACTCAGACCTAAGAGTCACCTCTCTTCAGTGTAATGTTTTCCTTTCTGTTTATGCCAAGGTAAGAGGTGAAGGTCCATCACTGTTTACGCCAGACCTGATGGTGGCTGAATTTAGGCAACGTCAAAACAAGCGATGATGCTATTCTGGTCTGAGAGTGTGGCTCTTCCTTCCTCCATTTCCCAGGTGCGGGGACCTGGTTGTGCCCAGGAGTGGCTGTCGGTGGCAGCGAGAAAGAGGGCTGCCAACTTCTGTCTGGCCACCGTCAGGGACAAGGTGACATACAGAGCAGTGCCAACATCTTCGATCCATCTAAATCAGGAATTTGGGAGCTATAGGGTAAGGCAGAGCTCCTGCCAGTGTCGTTGCTTTTTTTCTACACATCTCTCCTACATATATACCCAGTTGTTTCAGGTATTGCATTTCCATAAGTGCATCTGAAAAACGCTTTTTTAGGTGTCTTTGTCATTTCCTTTTCGTTTCCTAGTTCTGTATTAGCACAAAAATAGCAATGGCTCTCTTCATGAGTCACTCCAGGTAACAGATAGATGAATGCGCCAAGTTTTAAAAGAAATCATAATTACTTCTAATAGCAAAGATGGAATTTGGAGTCTGAGATTAATTTTTGCCATTATAGCCCTAATTCACAACATTTAGTTTCTCAATATCATAGCATAATTTTACTCTTGCATGTAGAACATGCACATTTTTAACTACTGACAGGAGTGTGGGGGGAGGATTATTGAGAAATCTTTTAGACTTTAGAAAATGTAATTTTCTTGCTGAGAAGTTAGTATGTACCAGATTTGCAGAATTTACTTTGTGTAGAAAGCATTTTGCTCAAAGTCTGTCTCTGTGTGTGTTTGAAAAACTGCTCGTTTAGAGCAAGCAAATGAATTTTGATGTCTCCCTTTCTTAGATCATCCTGACAAAACCAATTTTTCTCCTGAGGATAATTTAATTCAAAGCAAATTGTATTTGGTGACTAGTATAATTTTGGAACCCCATGCTTTGCAGTACATTAGTAGCCAAATAACATACATTTTATTTTTAATAATAAAATTGATGAATAAGCAAGTGATAATTCTGCCTGCTGATTTTTTTTTAACTCCATGCTCTCATGCAACATCATTGATAGAAGAAAATGTTACTGCAAATACATTTGTGAAATGCAAGAGAGAATGACCCTACAGACCATTTCAGAATTCAGTCCTGAGCAGTTATAAAATTAAACATTTTTAATTCAGAACTGTTATCTTAAAGTTAGGTTGGTTTTGGGGTTTTTAGGATCTAGAGGAGGCATCTCCCTGCCGGGGTTCCTTCAGCAACCCCATCTAGCATGTGCCGGGAACATCAAGCTCATTCACATGTATGGCAAGAGTGGTGGTAGTGTCACCTTCTCCAAAACCTCCAAGACCTAAGACCTGGGAAGAGTAAGACCAAGGCTGGGCATCCTATTGTCTGACCATGTCCCCATGTTTGCGCATAAATTTTCTGCTCATCCTGTCAAAGTATTATTGTGACATGATCAGGAGTGCCCAAGAGTCACGGAGCCAAAGACAGATTGTTTCTGGAGATCCAGAAATTCCCACTGGCTCTAATGGGGGTGTCCTGCATAGCAAAGCTCAAGTGCCACAAAGCTGCCTAGTGTCTCCTTCACTGTTGAACAGTGATTTGGAAAAATGGTTAATTTTGTTCACAGCTTTAAAGTAAAAGCTGTGTTTTGAAAAAAAAATACTCTGAAGTATTTTGAAACTTTCTAGAGACTTTTTAGACCAGCTAAGTTGGAAAAATAAATGGTCCAGTGACTACTTGCTAATTCATCTTCATGTGCAGCTGCAAAATTATTTTCTGTGCACATAGTGCGAAACTCCTTCCTAAATATGAGGTTCAGAGACCCTTTGGGAGTAATTAACTCTAATGCAGAAGCAAATCTGGGTTCATTGTATGTACTGCTCATTTAAGAAATGTTTTTGTGCACAAAACCCATTAGTAAATTTCCAAAACCCCCATGAATGTTAAGCATTTTATTATAGGACTCTGAGCACTTCTTACTTTACATAAAATCTAGTCTAATCCTATGAATTATATTTAGCTTTTGATCCCTGGATAGCAAAGTGCTGTGTCACGTGTGCTACAGTGTATTCAAGGGCTAAATGACTTTTATTTAGTTATTTATTTAACAGTGATAGAACAGCTCTTTTCCTGTGGACTACACAAAATGTTGTGGATATGCTCAAAAAAAAAGTTGCATGCTATTGATTTTATTCTACTTACTGGTCGACTTCCATACAGTGTGGGGGGTTTTTTTGTTGTTGTTCTACTAACTGCTTTCCTTCTGTGCTTTTAGACCTAAGATGTACATGTCCATCTGATGCAATGGAGATGCAAAGCAAAGCTGCTGTTTTCATCAGTTGCACATGATTGGCAGGCAAAATGATTGAGTTTCTGAGGATGTGATTTAGCCAGGATTGGGAATAAATGCCCTTAGCCTCAGTGGGTGTAGGCATGTGCCTGAAGTTAAGAGTATGTTTAATTTGCTGAATTAGGTCAATGCATGAGGCTAATGGGCTCCTTCAGAAGCAGCAGCGTGATGCTTTTGGGCCTGTGTTACATGGGCAGTTAGGCAACATAATCTCACTTGCCCTCACTGTCAACTAATTTGTGAAGAAGCATAAATCATGTGAGATGCTCTGAGGAAATCTGTCCTACCGCCTATGTGTGTGATTAGGGTGCTGATACTTGCATGTACTGGGCAGTAGTCCTGGGCAGCAGGCTGGTGGGACTGGTCTTACTGGCCCAGCTGTGTGCTGGTGATCAGCACAGAAGCACAGTGGCACAAAAATGAATGAAGAAGAACAGAAATAACTGCTCAGATTTTATGAAAGTTTGTCCTTTCTCTTCAGTCTTTGTTATTTGTTCGTTTGGAGAGATTGACAGCATAGTATTGTATAATGTTACCTAATATATAGCATCTTATCCACCATTTATTTCTTAATAAAACCCAAACTATAGTCTTCATTATTATCGGAGAGTTAGTCATTAACATCTGAGGGTTTTTACAACACCTGTGCTTTATGTCAAAATATGCAAAATATATCCAAGCACTTCCATTTAAGGTGATGGTTTACACTGTGCTTTGGCTGTGCTATCTGGATTGGTTGGAATTTCATGCAATTACTATTTTACACAGCAGCGGAGTATCTGTGAAGTGGCTATCAATTGAAACATATTTTGCTCTTCAGACTTGCTTTTGCAGGTTTCACAAAACATTTCATTAGTGATAATCAGCTTTTAACCAGCCAGAGCACGCTGATGAGATTCTCTCTCTCTCTTCCCCCATAATTGTAGGCATAGTCTGTACCCATAAGATAAATTACTTGCAGTCTGGAGAACATCCTAGCCAGCAGGAAGGGAGAGAATAAGAATGTCTTTTACGTGGGGATAAAGAAGGTGTTGTGTATACTGTGATTTCAGTGAAAAATATACTTTTTCTTTCCTTTTCAGAATGGTGGACCTGGAAACCAGCTGGAGATTGCAAAGTCTCCTTTCCGTTGAGGTTGCTGGTCAGTGGTCATCTTCCACCACACTCAAAGAAACTGAAAGAGCTCCACACTAACTTCTGTAAGGTTTGTTTCACCATGGAAGATCAAATGATTTTCTGGCTCAGGTTTTGTGAAGTTCGGCATCTGCCTTGGACCCACAATTTGGAAAAGGGATCATCTCTGAGGCACGGTTAAGAGACAGAAAAACCCATCCCAGACGATGAGCACTCTAAGTAGCACTGGAATATTACTCAGCTTAACGACAGTGTCTGTTACGCTGGATTTTAATTTGCGTGGTGGTCTGATGGCTTGGTCCTTAAGCAGCAATTTGACTCTGAATCAGAGTTTGCCTACATCTGATCCTCTTAATGCCTCTGAAAAGGGTGAAGTCTCTCGGATGTCTGTGCGGGAGAAGAACTGGCCGGCCCTCCTGATCCTGGTTGTCATCCTGCTGACCATTGGGGGGAACATATTGGTAATTATGGCTGTATCCTTGGAGAAGAAGTTGCAGAATGCCACAAACTTCTTCCTGATGTCCTTGGCGGTGGCAGACATGCTGGTGGGTATCCTGGTCATGCCCGTGTCGCTCATTACAGTCCTGTATGGTAAGTGGCTTCCCTCCTTGTTTGACTATACACTTTCACAGGGAATCCCCTGAGGCTGCAGCAATCTGCTTTGCACCGTTTTTCGTGCGTTGGTGGCTTGGGGAGAATCAGTGTGGACTTGGGCATGGGTCTGTGCTGAGGTTCACACTCTGCTGGGTGAGGGCAATGCTCTGCTTGGAGCAGAGCTTGTTTCCATGCTGCCGGGAATGACCTGTGAATGGTGTTGGTGTAGAGTTTTTTTATTGCTGAGACCACCAAAAATACCCTGCAACAGTGAGTCAGCTTGTTACCTTTTTGGTTGTATTGCCCCCAAATTAGCTAGGACACAAGAGTTTAGGGAAAAGCTGAGGAACCTGTTTGTGATTGACCCAGCTCTAAGCCAGGTCGGAATCAGTCCTTGAGCTCCCACTGATATCAGTGGAGTTTGAACAAGAGCGTGGTTAAGAAAGGAGGTTTGCACTAGTAGATTTGCAATTCAAATAAAAGCCTTCACTCTTGGCATTTATACCTGAGCTTGCCTTGTGCCTTTCAGAGGGTCATTTTGCCTTTCCGTGCCTCAGTTTCCCTATCTCTAACCTGAGAAAATTCCCTCCATTTTAAAACACTTTGAGATCTGTATGTATAGGCGTAAGCATTTATTTCTCCCCTACCATATTAGGGTCGGTGTGTTTGTGCTAAAGTAGGGCATTGCTCCTGCACTCAAGTGTAGAATCACTGTTAGCACTTCAAAGGAGTAAGGTATCAAATGCATCCAGCTTTCTCATCTGTCCGAGACTCCAAATCCAATTTTTTTTCAGCATGGTGATAGGACTCCCCACTCCTGGATATTACAAAGGGATATTGCATTTGCCTCTGTATCTCTGATCATCATGTTTGTATACTCACGTATCAATATGATGTATGTGTGTTTAATAGATAATATTTAATCACTTTTGAAGTCTGTGTTCAGATTTTCTTTGAAAAGTACTTAAATATTGATATTTCTTGGAAACAAATAATACTGTTTACTTACAAATTTGATTAGAAATTGGTTTACTGTCCTATGAAGTAAAATGTAGGGATATTTATGTGACTTCTTCACTTGCCTAAATGATTAAGTCAGACAGAGATTAATTTCTAGAACACATTGATCAAGCATACATCATTCCAAAGCCTATATAACTTGTCTACAGTGAGTTAAATCAATATGTGATTTAGGTACAGACCTAGCCATTGAGATCTTATGCATAAAACCTTTTATTTTGGGCTGTCAGAATAGTTCTATCTCTAAATCTTCTGTGTGTTACAACATGTCTATTTTATTTTTAGCATTTTACTCTGGTTCCCTGGAGCTTGAAAGGGAGCATATAAATACTGAATGATTTTATTGACCTGCACTTGCATAAATTCTGGATTACCTAGTGACTCTAAAAAGGTGAATTTATGGAGGTGATCTTCCTACATACATACTTTCTGAGTCTTTGGAAACTAATGGAAATGGATTTTCCGTTTTGCCTGGAAAATGATTACTTAAAGTTGTTTAGAGGTGTAAAGCATGCTGCATATTTGGAGGCAAGTAAATATCATTGATCTGAAGAGGAGTTGTAATTATTCCTCTTTTCTACCAGAGTACCAGTATTAGCTGTTGATGGCCCAAGCACCTCTCTGCAGGCAAATGGCATTGAATAGATTTTTGAGCAAAAGTTATAATTTCAGAACAGGCATGGAAAAGTTGTGGAAATACTGTGAGAAATGAGAATAGCTGCTGTTACTTCAGCAGAGCCAGGAGGCCACTGGACCCATGCTGGGTGCTGGCATTGCTCCCCTGGGCCAGCTCGGAAGCCCTTGCCAGGGAGGGGAGGCAGGTACCTTGTATATTATACTCAGCTTGGTGGACCAGTTCTTATGACAACATGAGGCAGCAGCTGGAAAGGCTCTTGGCAGAGTCGCAACGTTAACAAATGTTGTTATAACTGACAGCCTCCAGAGATCCATCCCTTATTCCTGAGTCTGTTTTATCTGGTGTCACAAGTAGCATCTCTGTACCATTGCACACACTGGTTTTGAGGACAGAGTCTGGCCTCTTGGGTAACATGGGGTTTCTTGGCTTAGTTTCCTTTGAGCTATAGTTTTTGGAAAAATGGTGGTTCTTACAGCAGCCTGCAAGCGCTCTGGATGCCACAGTGGCCAGTAGGACAGTGGACTTTATCTTGTTTTCTAAAAGCTAGAGGTCAGGAAATCCAAACATATACAAATGCTTTAGTAGGTTTTATATTCTGTTTGACATGGTAGCACACGAACCAGTATCAGTGATTAAGGGGGCAAATATTCACACAGCAGCAGAATTCCTCTGGGAGTAACCGGGGTTCACGGCCATGGACTGAGCAGGGAGAGCGTTACTGCTTGGAACTGTAATTGTGAATGTTCAGTCATTTTTATGCTGTATATCTTACCCTGTGCATTCTATAAACTCTAGGTATTATGACACTGGGCTGTTTCAAAAGCTGCCGTATGCTGCATGGAGGAATGTATGCAGCACATCTCTTCTAGATTTGTAGAAGTCACTTTTAATTTATGTAGTCAGAAAGGAACCTTAAAAAAAACATATAATAAAAGCAACTTCATCACTCTTCTATTTAAGTTTCCACATCAGCACTCTCAGCCCCAGTGATAAATTCTGGTTTGCAGAGTAGGTTCATTTCCTTACTTTTCAGCTAATGAGGTAGATGAAGTAGATTTCACTTCAAGCGTAACCGGAAAATTAGACACCCTCCACAAAGACTTCTGGTTTTCAGTGGTTTGCTTTTCTTAATTAGAAGAAGGAAAAATCAAGTTGTCAGTTAATTCAAGAATCTTATTACAAAGGAAGGGATGGCAGGATGTGTCATGCTGGATTTTTCACCAGTTAGTCAGTGCTCAGATATATTTATCAGTCTTGGACTAATCGATGAGTTGCATTTGACAACTTAGAACGTTTTCCATGGCATGCAGTTCCTAACGAACCAAACAGATTAGCATGCTAATTAATAAGCATGTATTGGGGAGAGTAAATGAGAAATTAACACCATGTTTAATCTCAATGGAAAAACTTCTGATTAATTAAAGATACTGGTGTGATAAGGCATCAAGTATTCTGCATGTAATGGAGCTTCTGACAACACATGGAGATTGTCTGCTCACCTTGGAGCATTTTATGGACAAGCAGTGGTGGCTTTGCATCGTGTCTAGTGTTTATGGGCAAGAAAGAGAGGGCTGTTCTTTGCCTACTAGGACTAGTGAAGGAATGCAAGGGAATCTCATCAGCTGATCTGAGTGGAAATTACAGAAGGTATTAAACTTTCTTTGTTCTAATGAAACGGGTTCACAGCTGCTAACAAGTTGCCAGAGTGTGGCCAACAAGTGGCCAGCACACTCATCTGTGACTCCAGGTGCCCAGGCTTCTCTCTCTGCGTTTCAAAAAACACTGTAATGTTGGCAGCCAGATGCAGCTTCCAGGAAGGCTGGTATTAGATGCAGCATTCATTAGCCCCAACTGCTGGAGCAGCTTTACATCCAGATTATTGTTATTATTGATAATTATCATCATTATTATGTGGTGACAGAGATGTGCTGAGCACTTGCGGCAGACTTCGCTGTTTATTTCCCCTGCAGAGGGAAGGGGGGGAGCAGAAAGAGCTGTCAGTGAAACAGCCTGTTCTGCAGTCTCATTTCGCCTGACCCTGCTTTGCCTTTCTAGGGTGGCACTTGCTATCAGCAGTGAACATCTTGCAGAGAGACCTGATCAGGCAAGACAAGGACAAGGTGTTGCTGAGTAAGTTTCTGGGTGCAGTCGATACCTGAAAGGACAGACGGAGGGTGCCTGGATTGTTCGTAATGCAGATCTCCTCAGCAGTGCCAAGGCATGCTGCACACTTTGATGATGCTGGGTATTTTCTGAAGCTGCAGCAAGGAGCAATGTGCTCCTTCAACAGCTGGGGCCATCTGCTCTGTCATTTTTATTTTTTTTAATTTTTTTTTTTCCCCCTGCTGATTTCTAGTAATGGCTCTCAAGGTTAATATTTACTGCTGCAAGCAGCCACATGCACCTGAGTCCAAATGCTGTGTGGCAAGGATACAAGGAGTTAAATACAGTTGTTGTTTTGGCCCTTCATTCTCAAAAAAAAAAAAAAAAAAAAAAAAAAAAAAAAAAAAAAAAAAAAGATGAAATAAGAAATGACGTTTCCTATACTGGAGTTTCCTTAACTCTTTTAGTGTATTCATGGTTGTGAGTTAAGTGTCTGTAGTCACATATACGTGTAAGTGACTGTGTCAATCCACCTGGAGTAATTAATAGTCTTCCTCTTCCGACAAACTCCTGGCTTAGTTTTAGCTAGTTATTATATAATCTAGTCGTTGGCTTATGACTGATGTAGCAAACTGGTGAGATCACCCTGATATTTTAACATAACAAGTTGTGCTTAAAATCCATCAATGGTCTGGAAAAATGGTAACCCCAAAATATGTGAACTGGCAGTGGATGTTTTGACCGTGACCTGTGACCCATCGCGCTGCTTTGGCATTGTCCTCCCTGTGCCACGTTACCCCGAGTGCCTCCCTATGCCAGGGCAGCATCGCCCTGCTGTTCCTGGGCTGCTGGATATGTATTTGCACACCTCGGGGAGGACTGAGGGGGTCCCTTTCCTCTCTCAGCTGGTTTAACTGCCTGCATTACTGCCGGTAGTAACTGCTGCTCCCTGCTCAGCTCTGCTAGTGATGGGGTCAGCTGAAATTTTCAGATGTTCTGGGATTTTGGAGCTCTCCTAGCCTGGCCGATGGGCAGAGTGGTGCCTGGATCCAGGGCTGGTATCGTGGCAGCGGAGAGCAGAACACCATGTTGATAAAAGGAGTGAAGACAAGCACAGTATTGCCAAGGCTTCATCTCCAGAGAGCGCCAGCAGCATCTCATGGCACAGTGGAAGCTCAAGCTCTTTTAACAAGAATATTTATCAGGTTAGGTGTTTGGGCCCTCCTAGGGCTAGACA